CGGACTATTGTCCTCATCTTTGTCGCCATATTTATTACAACGTTTCGGCCTTTCAGTATCTGTCTATATTTCTGAGATGAGGTATTATGTACACTATTTACATTATTCGGACTATTGTCCTCATATTAGTCGCCATATTTATTACAACGTTCCGGCCTTTCAGTATTCGTCTATATTTCTGAGATGAGGTATTATGTACACTATTTACATTATTCGGACTATTGTCCTCATCTTTGTCGCCATATTTATTACAACGTTTCGGCCGTTATACGCTCCTGCCTTCTTTAGGTGGTTGGAATGTTGAACTGAACCCTTTATTTCGGTCGCTGGGGTAGACTGTTCTAGTTCCACGTGCCATGTCTAATGGATGTCAGATATCTCCTGTTAATTCCCCCCTGAAATAGAGATAACTGATATACATTAGACATGGCACATTTATAAATAAAACATTTCTTTTCATGAAAAATCAGCGAAAACTTATTGACGATCGTAATATATAGATAGATAGATAGATAATATTAGTGGTAAATATACACATACATATGCAAAATATATAAACATATATACATAGATGCATACACATACATATATATTTTGTATAAAAAAAATTCCAAGAGGATAGAATCCAGGTAGAACTCAATGTCCAGGACAGAGTAAGGATATAATCAAAAGGCTTAAACACTAATATTCCATGGTCATAATTTATTCCATTGGAATCGTAAATACGATCCAATTCATCAGACCTACAAATTGATAAAGGAAACAGAACAAACAACTCCGGAAATAAAAATAGAATTTAGAGAGAGTGTAAGTATGAGAGTGTGGGACGAATGTTAGAGATAAAGAGAGGGGTAACAGACGAGAGAAGGTGGGGGGTTAAAACTTAACAGAGAGGAGTTTTGAATTGGATCGTATTTACGATTCCAATGGAATAAATTATGATCATGGAATATTAATGTTTAAGCCTTTTATTATATATATACAGTGTAACCCGGATATAAGAGACCCGGATATAACAGAAACCCGGATATAAGAGAGATTTTTTCCGGTCACCAATTAGAGCCTGTGTTAATATATATAAAATAGACCAAACCCGGATATAAGAGAAACCCGGATATAAGAGAGATTTTCTTCGGTCCCAAATTAGAGCCTGTGTTAATGTATATAAAATAGACCAAACCCGGATATAAGAGAAACCCGGATATAAGAGAGATTTTCTCCGGTCCCAAATTAGAGCCTGTGTTAATGTATATAAAAAATAGACCAAACCGGATATAAGAGAACCCGGATGTAAGAGACTTCTTCTTCTTCGGTCCCGACAACTCTTTATATCCGGGTT